TGATGCTGTTTCCAGGGCTGAGAAAAACGTTTCTAATATCCAAAGAACACCCGAATGTGTTTAAGTCCACCCAAGAGCCAATTAAATAGATGTCAGTTTGTCTTAGTATATCGTCAAAATTTCGAGAAAAAAGCTGTCTAGCCCTGTCAGCCTACATCATCCTTCCTCTTTCGTGCTGACACATAGAAGAGAGATTACATTTGTTCAGACTGGGTGGCAGAGGTAGGAGCAAAGAGCAGACATCGTAAAGAATAAAATTTAGGTTTAACGTCAAGGAAAGCTTCCTGACCACAGAGAGCTGTCCCAGAGCGGAATGGGCTCCTCTACAGATGCTGTGCTCTCCCTTCCTGGAAGTCTTTAAGCAAAGACTAGAGGACTCCTTGTCATAAGAGGGGACGCTTGAAGAGATACTCCTTGGACTAGATGGTCTTTGAGATTGCTTCTAGCTCTCAGCTATTCTGAGATTCATTATTTACTTGTAGTCCTTGATAGCCTTGATAGGGAAAGGGTGGATACGTGTGTTACCTATGGCTTGGCCAGGGACACCCTCTTCCCACCAAGCGACCCCAGTTCTAGTCCTAAGGAAGCCTGACTTCTAGAAATGAGAGGAGGGGACTCAGGCTCTTCTTGAACACCATGGTTCATTATATGATTATCCCAGAGTTGAATCCTTCCCCAATTCAATAGTCTCCCTAAAGAGTCTCATGTTTCAAGATTTTAAGTATCAATTGATCAAAAAACGTTTATGAAGCTCTTACTCTGTGTGTAGCCCAATCTAGGTGCTGGAGGTACAAAGAAAAGATAATAATGGTCCCTGCCCTCCAGGGGCTTATATTCTCATTGAGAAAACAACATGTATATAAATCAGTTCCTACAAGACAAAGGGAAGCATATGGGGGAACCAGGGAAGGCCTCCTGGGAGAGGTGAACCTTGAGCTGAGTCTTAAGGGAAAGCAGAGATTCTGTGAGGCAGACAAAAAGATCTATGTTATTATTTGGTGGTTTTCATTGTTTTTTCATTTGTTTGTTTTAGGTAATCGGGGTTAAGTGACTTGCCCAGGGTCACACAGCTAGTAAGTGTCAAGTGTTTGGTCTGAGGCCGGATTTGAACTCAGGTCCTCCTGACTTCAGGGCCGGTGCTCTATCCACTGCACCACCTAGCTGCCCCTATTATGTGTTGTTTTAAGTTTTTGTCAATGCACATGAGTTGGAGTTTTTTGTGCCGTTAGCATCTCTTTAAGTGAAAAATAAGATTTCATTACTATATTTATACCCCAAGAAGGTCATTAGTAAGAAGAAAGTTCCCCTATACATCAAAATATTTATAACAGTACTTTTTGTGACAGCAAAGAATTCGAAACAAAATTGCTGCCCATCAATTGAGGAATGGCTAAGCAAATTGTAATATGTATATGTAATGAAATATTACTGTGGGGTAAGAAATTATATGTGTGTTAAGTACAGAGAAGCATGGAAAGATCTCTCGGAAATGATGCAGAAATGATCCAGAGCACCAGCCCTGGAGTCAGGAGGACCTGAGTTGAAATCCTCCTCAGACACTTGATACTTACTAGCTGTGTGACGCTGGGCAAGTCACTTAACCCCATTGCCTAACAAAAACAAACAAAACAAAAATGGAAATGATGCAGAGTAAAGTAAGGAGAGCCAAGAAAACAATACACGCAGCAACGACAACCATGTAAATGGAAAGAGCAACCACCCTCACACAAAATTCAAAGAGAATGTCGCAGAATCAAAATCAAGCCTAATTCTAAAGATGAGCGATGAGAAGGTCCCCCCCATTCCACTCCTCACCCCTTTGGCGGAGGAAAAAGGTCCACAAGTGATGATCATTGCACATACTTTCAGCCCTTTTGGATGTACTGATCAGTCACGCCGATTTTTTTCCTCTTTTCCTTTTTTGTCTTTAAACAGGATGGCTCTCTGGGAGCAGTTGGGGGAAGGGGGGGGATGCTAGGGAAAACTCTGGTGATTAAAAAAACAAAAAGGCATCAATAAAAACTTATTTTAAAATAAATAAAAATGAAAAATGAACAAATAGATGGTGAAAAGCATGTTTTAAGTGTTTACTATATGCCAAGCTAACGATGAGCAAATCACTTAATTTTTCTGGGCTTCTCTTATCTGTAAAATAAGGAAATTGGAGGAGATGATTCCTGTGATCTAAGGTCCCTCCCAGTTCTAAATCTGTGACCCTCTGATCCTAAGCACTTACTCAATGCTGGGGATAGGAATGCAAAAGCAACTGTCCCTGCTCTCAAGGAGTTTATAATCTAATGGAGGAAACTGCAGTGTTGGGGCATAGTGGCCTAGCAAGGAGACGGATACTTTGGTCTTGAAAAGTTGCCAGGTTGGTAAGTGGGGCCACAGGGGAGTAGATTGATACACCCCATCCAGGAACAATGGCAGAGTTGATTTAGTCATGATTCATGGCTCCGAAACTGGGCATGAGGGAAGCGATCTGGGGAAGTAAAACTGCTGGAGGAAGTGGTTGGAGAGGAGGGAGTAAAGGTATCCTTAGCTAGAGCTTTCTTGAAATAGTGTTTTGGGAGAGGCGGTCACTAATTAGGAGAGTGGAGCCCCAGGGCAGAAGTTCCTTCAGGTCTCTGGTGTGGGCAGCAAGGTAGTTGGTGAGGAGGTTGTAGAAGAGGTAACTGGGAGGAGGGAAGAGAGGGAAGATAAATAGCTGTACTTTCAACTCAAGTCAACTTCAATTTGATTGGAAGTCAAGAATATCCTGGGTTACTGACCACAACATCCTCTGTGAAACAGAAACAGGACTACATGCACTATCTGCCTCATGAGGAGTTATAGGGAAAGAAATAGACATACAGATGGATGGATGGATGGATGGATGGATGATTGGATGGATGGATGGATGG